ATTTTGACAACCACCCATATCCGTTTCTAGCAGGGCTTAGGGTTTAGGGTTTTTTCCCTAAGCCCCTAAGGGAAAAGGGGTTTAGGGTGTAGGGTTTAGGGTTTGGGAAACCCTCAACCCCCAAAGCATGTATAATGCCAGTTTCCATGTTATGTTCCATGGGATTCTTCACCATTGAGGCCCCAAAGCCCTAAACCTAATACATCCGTACGTATCCCTTCAAAGGGCCTCTATTTCAATCAAGCCTAGGCAGTCTTTATACCCTAAGTTTAAACCCTAAACTCTAAACTTAGACCCTAAATGGTAGTTTCCATCCTCTTTTCCATTATCCCCTGTATAACCTCCCATTTTACCCAGTGAAGAAGCCATCTTCAAGCGACCCGCTCTTGCCAAAGAGTTCCGACGGGCTTTTGCCTCGCAAGCATGCTTCAAACCTTGGTCCAAGGCTTGGTTTAGGGTTTAGGGTTTAAGGTTTCTGGGCTTAGGTGTTTGGGGTTAGGGTTTATGGGTTTGGAGCTTAGCGGTTTGCGTTTAGGGTATAAGGGTTTCGGGTTTAAGGGTTTCGGGTTTAAGGGTTTGGGTTTAGGATTTAGGGTGTAGAGTTTTGGGGGTGTAGGCTTAGGATGTAGGGGCCAGCGCGTACGCTTTAGGATTAAACCCTTCACCCCTACCCAATGTAGGGGTTAGGGTTGAGGGTGTCGGGTGCAGGGTTTGGAGCTTCGAAGCGCGCGCCGCACTGCAGATTCGAGGGCTTAGGATTTACCCCAGACAAAGGAACTGACAGTTTCAGCGCTGCGTAGATGCATGCACAATATAGTACGGGGCCCCAAGCTGAAGCTTGGGATCTGGATAGTTTTCAGGGTACGAGATTTTGGGGAAGGGTTTTGGCTTTAGGGATGTGGAAGCTGGCATTGTACCTCCCTTGTGCTCATGTATGGGAGCTGAGGTTAGCAAGCACAAAGCTGTTAAGCCTTCAAGGACCACTACCATGCTCAGAAACCACATGCAGGCATAGCTTGAAAGGATCTCATGAGCTGTTCATGTAACTGGCCACCGGTTCTACTCCCTACAGGCGCAGCCATCACAATGCCCCTGTAAGTGTTGCTTGTATTCCTCCCTCTCCTTTTTTGTAGTCTTACTACTAGGTGTTGGAGTCGCTGTAGTAGCCGTCGTAGCCGTAGCAACAGCAATAGCAAGACATAGCAGTAGTAGTAGCAACAGTCGTAGTAGCAGCAACAGCAGTACAAGTACAAGTGGTAGCACTGGGACCCTGGCGCGACCCCCCCAAAAAGAAATCATCATTCATGGCTTAGAGGATGACGAGGGATTTCCCTGCCTTGTGGAAAATGATGATATCAATCATAAGAGATACGGGGCACAAGTAATCTCGATGAAAATACTGATAGAACAATCATGACCTGGATGATGTTGGCAGCAGATTTTTCTTGACTTCAGCTCTACATAAAGCAGAGGTACGAGTAACCCAAATGGGGGTGCAGTTTTAGTTACGGAACAATAATTAGAGATCACAGACAATGCCGCTAGTGCTAGTGCTGCTGCTGCTGCTGCTGCTGCTGCTGCTCCGACCACAACCCCTGCCAGCGCAGTCCTCACTACACCACAACACCACCCTTCACCCCCTCAATCCAGGAGCCTACAGCACTTGCAGCCGGAAAGCTCTTTCACATAGAAGGTGCTGGAGTCGGTGTCCTCATCGTAGACGCCATGGCATGGGGCAGTGCTGTATCGCCAGCCACGTGCCCTCAAGACCTCATCATGGCCCTAAAAGAGGGTTGCTAGCTTCAGGAATGTAAGGCACTGACTTTCTTTTTAAGCGCCCCTTGTGCCCTCTTGGCACGGTTGGGCAGCTTTTGTGACACAGGTTTTTTGTGGGATCCGGGTCCATCATGGTTTAACATTTTGGGGTTTATGGTTTGATTGAGAGGAATGTACAATGTAACCCAAAGTCTGGGGACTGCAGACTACAACGGCGCTCCGGGGGACCCACGTAGAAGTCTTCAAACATAGCCAGATTTCGAAAGCGCAACTTACGCCGGAAATGCTGTCTGCTGCGGAGATTTGCAGAACCCCACCTTAAGTGTCCGCCAAGCGAAGACCCCTGCTTTAAATCCACGACTGCGGTCTGACAACTGCCGTCATTGATTGATACTATACTGGTACTATCATTATTTTCCTTAGCGCTCTCAGCTACCTAGATCGTATGCTGCTGGGCTATGTAACTATAAGGTATATAGAATCCAGAACCCATCATTTAGGTAACTGAAGCCCTAGGCTTTGCTCCTTAACTAGGCCCCTAAACCCTAAACCCTTACTTAAGTAACTGGAGACCTAACGTTTGGTCACAGCTCCACCTCTCGCAACAGGGGGCCATAGTTGATCTCGCAATGGCCCTCGGTGGGGGCGTCGAAAGCGCGCAAATCACTCACCGGCCAAGCCTTGTAGCCGCAAGTGGAGGTTCGGTTAGGGTCTAGGGTTTAGGGTGGTGAGCACCATTGCTCCCATTACTCTTTTTACGTGAAGGCTAGAACATTGGAGCTTCTGAAGCTAAAGCCGGCGTAGGTTCTACAGCTGACCCTATAATCTCCATGTTCTTTGGATTTGTAGTCACCCTAAGAAACCCTTGTGATTGTGCTCTTGACCCTACCTCCTAGACTCCAAATCCTAAACGGCTGCTTTGTTAGACTAGCTCTCTTGCTGGGGTATTCCTAAACCCTAGACACAAATCCTAAACCCTGTCCCTTTTGAGGCTTTTGAGGTTAATGATTAACTCTATATTCGATAGCGTTGACACCCTGTTCCAGCCTCACCCACGGGCCGGGTCGGGTGGCAAAGCTCGAGCCTTCGCTTTTTCCGCGGTGGCTGACACCAAGTCGCCTTCCTTCAGGGCTTCAGGAACTACCTGCCGTCACGGTCATTGTCGCTGAATTAGGAGTAGAAGGCAGCGAAGTAGTAATAGCCTGCAGCAGCAGCAGGAGGAGGAGGAGGAGGTGTTGTTGTCGCGATGTTGTCGTCAATTGTTGTTGGTGATAGTCGTCGCCGCCGCCGCCGCCGCCGCTGCCGCCGCCGTCACAGGTCACCGTCGCCGTCGGCAGTGTCTCCGTCATCGTCGTCACCGTTGGCATCGTCGTCATTGTAGTAAATAGTAAGTAGGCAGGTAGCAGCAGCAGCAGCAGCAGCAGCAGCAGCAGCGCTGTGTCCCGGTTCTATCTTCACTCCTGTGTAAGCCAGCTTTAACCGAGCTATGGCTAATTCAGCAGTTGTAGGAGGGAAGCATGGCGGGACGGGTGTGGGGTCTACGGCTCCCAAACCCGCTTCCTCTTTCGAGGAATCGGTCCCTGCGAAGCAAATCGCGCCATGTTTTCCAACAAAAAGCTTGAGCCAAAGCGCGGAAGGCGGAAAAAACAACAAGCGTAACAGTCTTGTACAGCACGCCAGTTGCAGTCAGGACGGGGGTTATTACCTAGCAAGCGCAACTTATAGTTTCAAGGACGCTCCAACCATACGTCAGCCTTCCTGCCATGTGTTGCCCTCCCAAACTAACATGGAAAACAAAAAATACACGTACAGACTACTGACCTTTTAATGAATATGCGTTTTCACGGGCGTTTGGGGTGGGAGGGTCTATATACCCCAAAACCTATTTATATACCTTAAGGACATCTTGGTGAGCGATTTCAGGAGTCCTGCAGCTGTCCCTGCAGCAAAGAGACTCTCTGCTCCTGGACACGCACGGGATTATATGGGGATTTTGTTGGGGCTCTATGGCTAGTTACGGCTTTAGGGTATATACTCTTTCCACTAGACTGCAGTCTGACATGGGCCTCGTTTGCACGAAAAGTAGCCTTTGCAGGATCTCGTTTGGGCTTTCAATGGCTGAAATTTTTGGCAACAGGGGGACAAGAAAGTGAGACGATCAACACGAAAGGCCTGTGACGTTTAAAACATATGTTCGACCCTGACTGCCTTAAACACCAGAAAAGCAAGTATTTGCTATATTCAGATGTGAGAGGCTCATGCAAGATTGCTAGAATCAACAGTACAACTCCTTCGTGTACTTATAGAAGTAGAGGTAGCAAAAGAGGCTGGTGGGGAGTTGTAGAAGCTGCAATGGTAGTAATTCGAAGCGGCAGCTGTGGCCGCAGCAGCAAGAGCAGCGGCAGCGGCAGCGGCAGCAGCAGGAAGCAGCAGTAATTTCTAGTCACTGTCTACTTCACGATTACCTACATTTCTCACGGAAGTCATTTTGATTTTCTATCACCGCATGCGTCCTACATTGTGGTCAGGTTTGGGCAGTACAGTAGTGCTCACGCTTCTTTGATCCTAATAACCAGGTGTATATAACTAATCAGGACCCTGTATCCGCGAATAGTGACGACAAAGGATCATGGCACAAATCTTTGACTGCCTACATATGACACCTACAAAGCCACTGTTAGTGAGTGGGGCGCTCAAATACAGAAGTTTCCCAGCATGACTCGGGCCCACTACCCAAGGCAGCGATCGAGAACCCGCAGCGTCTTGAAAAACCCTCTACTAAATCCTTGGGCCTCAATAGGATTTTCCCAAATGCTCAAATATTCCCCAAAACGGCGCCCACAATATCCGAAGGGCCGGAACATACGTGGTGCCCCAAAGAGTGCCACCACTATCACAAACACCAAACCCAAAGCGCAAACCCTGAATTCGACGCCCTAAATCCTAAGCCTTGAAATATTACCTTTAACCCCTGTTTCTTACTAAACCGTGTGTTTGCTCGCAAACCCTAGTGTGACCCATAATGTTGGTAAGTACGTTCTACAAATCTCTGGACAATCCCAGTTTCTATTCAACTTCTCATCTTCTCTTTCCAGTTAATGTGCCAATTCTTTGTATATTTTAATCATTACTTAAGCCCCTGAACCTTGTGCCACAGGCTTGCAAGCATCTCAGACTGGACTATGCTCATGACACTGCCCCTAGCCCCAAACCTTGAACCCCTAGGCAAACATGTCTCTCTGCACCCTAAACCCCTGGATAAGCCTCTCTGTGTCGATTCATCTATAAACCCTATTTTGCTTATGTATCCCTGAAACCACCGACCTTGACTTTCACCCAAAACCTAAAAATTTGCCGGCTCCTTTGCAGATATGTTTGTGACCCCTGCTTGCCACAATAGTACCCCCAGCCACCCCGATTATAAACCTACTTGCGAGGTCCCCCCCGACTCCTATAGGGATCTGGTGAGTTTAGGGTTCAGGATTATAATGGCCGAACCAAGGACAAATACATCAGAACATGAAACGCTTTGAATATATCTGTACATAATCCCTCTAAAGATGTCGTATATCATCCGTTTGAAGCCCTGAAATGGAATTGACACCCTGAACCCCAAATCCTAAACCCCAAGCGCCAACTCCAAACCCTGCACCCTAAACCGCAAGCTCCTAACTCTAAACCCTGGGCCCTGAATCTAAACCCCCAAACCCTAAACAGTAGTTTCCCAGTTCTTTTCCATTGTCCCCCATATAAACCGCAATATTACCCCACAATATACATATACAAACCTATATATATATATGTATATATATATACATATATGCAGAACCCTAAACCCTAAACCCTAAAGCCCTAAAACCCTAAACCCTAAACCCTAAAACACTAAAACCCTAAACCTTAAACCCTAAAAGCCTAA